GAACAAAGTATTCATGTCTTTGCACATGTATTTCAGAAGGAAGCTACTAAGTTGCCGGGTACTGAAGTCTCCCAGCCAAGACAGCTGCATTTAAAATTTGTGCTAATATTTATTCATTTCAAATTTACTCTATATTTTAAAATTTTCTGTTTTTGTAACTTTTTGGCATGGCTGCTTTATAGCTTTTATTATTCATATATTCATTATGTTACTTTGTAAAACTGGTATTTTTCACCTCAGCTAACACGAGAATTTGGGATTCAAAGCAGAGAGATTTCTTTGAATACATTTTATTTATTCTGCTCTTGTTGGACTGAAATAAAACTTTCAGTGAACATACATTCACTGAATCCTACAGTGCATTAATTAAAGTGCCATGGGAACAGGTGTGAGTAGGAGCAAAAGGTAACAGTCAGAAATTCAGGGAGAGCAGGATAAAAGCAAAAAGTCCAACTCAGGGATGAAGTTCAGACCCATAACTTACTGAAGCTTCACAGCAGCTACACTGGTGGATTTAAAACAGGGGATAAGACACTCCTGTTTGATGACTGTAAATATTTTAGACACTAATGATAGTTAGTTTAACAAAGGAGTCAAAGAAGCCATCTTTGTTAAAGATGTACAACCAATTATAAACAGGAGAGGTCGCAATAGATTTCTTCTCTCTAATACCCGACTGGTCCTCCCAGCAGCTACTCAGAGATCACTGCTTAGGGATGTGGGCTAAGGAGCTCATATAGGATTTTAAGGGACATGTTCTGACTGATAAGCAACAACGACGCAAACATTACACTTCGGGATGGGAATCGAAAACTGGTTCCTGTTCAGAACTGTGTGCTCCAATTCCATGGCACCGTTTGGCAGCTCGCTTAACGATTCTCTTTACGGTTCCAGGCAGCACCACAGCCTCTGGGCAGCATGACTTACATCACGTTTTTTTACGCAAATTATTCGGTAAATAAGTACGACGTGACCATGCGTAAGTCTAGAAAAGCAAAACAAAAAATAAAAAGGGCGTTCCATCGGGTAAAGCGATCGAACGTTTGGCTTCATTTTAAGGAAGAGAAAGATGACAAAAAGGCGCTTTGCAATCATTGCAAAGTGGCAATTACATCTGCAGGATAAAATACATCCAACATGCAGAAACACCTGCGCACACAACATGGCATATTTTAACAAATGCCGTGTTTTTGATGCTTCCGGACAGAAGTTTAAGTTACGGCCAGCATGGAAGGCAACTCTGGTGGTAAGTAGCTAGTTTTACATCACTGGCTGTGCTTAATACAGTTCCTAGTAAATAATATGCATTTCTGGAAATAAACCATTTCCTATCTCTCTTTGGGGTTATTAAAGCAGTTCAGGGAGCGAGAGAAAGGTGACGCTCGTTTATTTAAATTGGGAGAGATGAGTTTATTACCCGAAATTGTACTATAATACTTTTTCATTAAACGGATGCCTTCTCCATTAGATTTAGATGACTGTGAGGAGACGGGTAGCCTGGCTGGATCAGAGGCTGGCAGCTCCCCTTCACTGCTTTTGCAGAGGCAGGCAGAAATAGAATGTCCCAGGCGAAGGTAGACGAATGTCACTGTGCACTTACCAAGTTCATTGTTTCACAGAATCGATAAGAGAATCGATAAGGAATCGAATCATTTCACAGAATCGATAAGGAATCGTATCGTTTCACAGAATCGATAAGGAATCAAATCGTTTCACAATCTTATCAATTCCCAACCCTACTTACACTATATAAATATGTGGACACTGACAGTGACATTAAGGACCCCATCAGTGTGATTGTTCTTACTACACCATATTTTTGTCAATGCCCAACAAACATTTTTTTGTGCTTACATGAACATATTTAATTGGTTTAAATCAGTAGAAACATAAGTAAGGTCCTATTGATTCTTAAGGTTTCCATTTTATTGAGTTTCCCAAGGTGCAACTTTGTTGAGATCAAATAGCTTTTTGTAACTCAACATCAAAAGTAAAAAAAAAAGTTTATTTTGAGTAAATTGGTGCTACAGATCTGGCTTTGCTAAAAGAGATTTAAACCTCAAAGCCCTCAGTTCAATGCCACCAAATGTAAATTCTCTTGCATAAAAGTGTGGATGTTTTGATGATCTATTGAGTATTTGAATAATAGATACACAGAGTGTTGTTATATTTGGAGAATAAAAGTTCTTTGCTCTTCTATTGTTCCTATAGTAGGAATAATAGCGCTCTTTCATTTCCATATTTATATGCATCAGCAGGAGAGAGCAAATCCACATCCATAATGGTGTTTTGAATATGGTTGCTTCACGTCATTATCCTTCATCAAACCTTTATCTTCCTCACCTCATTACTGCGGCGCTGTGTTTGGTAGACTGTTACTTTTACGTCTTTTTTCCTCAAAAAAAGAAGGCATTGTTAATGGCTTCAGCTTCTGAAAATGCCACACTACACAACACAATAGGGAACAGTGGTAATGTGTCTGTGCCACATTACCAAACTTACAAAACAGGAATATAAATCCCCCTGAGCTTCCATCGCCAGCCGCACACTGAAAATGTTTCTTGCTCTTTATATGCTTCCTCTCTTTCCGGTAATCGATCCAGTAAAGAACAATGAGCGGACAGCTTTTAGAAGTCTTCAGAAGAACACTTGCATTTGCAAAGAAACTATTCCCTATGGGATGTGGTCCACGTGATACATCAGCAAGGGATGCAATCTAGATCACAATGAAGCCAAATGTTTCATTTTATCCTAACCGAGGATTATCCCTAGTCTTAAACATTTCCCCACTTGAATAGCTAGTGCTTTGCAGGAAATATTTCCTTGAAAAATGAAAAGATAATGGTTCCCTTTGTAGAAATCCCCAAACTATGTCAGTTTCTCTTAACACATCATGATGGAAAACATTCAGCTCTCCAGACAGTTTTATTTAAGCTTTGAGACACAGAGAAACAGTTTTCCCGCCAGGATGTAAAAATATAATATATCCCAAAAGTCCTTAACTTATGAAATTTTAGCACATTTTTCTCAAAGACAATAACAGTAGCAGATGTGCCAATCTGTTATAAAATGGAGAGAGCAGAGAGACAACATGGCTAAAAGAATTTCATTCCTAAATCCATGTTCAAGTTAAGTTTTCCTGAAGCCACGTCCAGAACCTGAGTTCAGAAAAACAGACTGTCTGCAACTTCCTCTGAGTTATAAGAATAACTAGAATAATCCAAAAGCAACTCAAGAAGTGACTACATGGTACCCAACCAAATGCTAACATGTTTTTAGCAGCTTTTTTTATAAAATTAAGCAAATTTATCTCATCTTGTATTTGGTAGCTACTGGCGTCACTACCGGATCCGTCCTTGAAGCACGATCTGTACCATCAGCTCATTTGCCCAAACATGCATCTGGGTCGCCCTTCGTAAAAAATTACCTTGATTACGCTTTTCCCTAACTAAGAGTAGTAAACGTATTGATCTATAATGCATTAAAGTTTAATAATGTATTTAATAAGAAAATACACACAATTAAATCCTTTCTGTTTTATCAGTTGTCTGTGCCGGCAATGGAATCATACGCTACTTCTGGGAGCTAACTTTTTCAGCTAAACATAAATATAGTCTTTTTGAGGTTTTTTTTTTTTTTTGGTATATAGTGCGTTATCTAAAAAAAAAGCATGTTTATCTGCATGGTTTAATCATATTTTGCCAGACTGCTCTGAGCATGTGCCTGATGATGACGTCATACAAGCAGTTTAACAGAGAAAATGTAAAAAGCATCAAATCGTCTCGGAAAATTCCTTAAATTTTTTTAGAGATACAGTATAGCGTTATTTATTGATTTAAGGATAAAAGTAAGTACTTTTAGTACCATAATTACATTATTTTTGGCAACCTGGATTTATATCTGGTATATGGTAGCCTACGGACTGCGCTTCTGGTACAGATCGGGTAGTGACAACTGGCTCCATTGTCTTCATAAGCTAGCAAAAGAACTTAAAAGGTCCCTAACCCTAACTATTCTCTCAGAAACAAACGCAAAGTGTTAAGAATGTTATCCGTGATCCGCACAAAAACATTAACTCTCTTGATCAAATATGCCCCAAAGAAAGTTTTCACAAGCTTTCTTGTGAAAGCAGACCTAATCTACCAGTTTTTGTGGCTAAAATATAATCCTTAAAGCTTCTCAAGTTTGCTTTGCAATCAATGAAAAGGTGACAGTGATTTAGGAATCCTTGCAGTAATTTTCCTAAATCAAGAGGAGAATTTCTAGCCTGGGTGCCATTCCGAACTTAGTCCCGCCCACAAGGTTTGAGGTTGGGAAGTTCGGTCTGGCATTGCTCCATAGTAGCGCGAGTATGATCGCCCACCCTCTGGCGATCCAATCAAATTGTCAGGGCGGGCTTTATACGATGATGGACAGATGATCAACAGTAACGTAATCAACCATGTGACCAAAGCGCGCTTGGGTGACAACAACAATGGCTGCCGCCGGAGAGTTGAGGTGAGTAGATTCTGCTATTAGGTCTGTTCTAGAAGATATCGACAGCAAATTCATTTTAAAAGAGGAACAAAGAAACGCGATTAAGGCTCATCTACTTATTTTAGGCGTGCAACTGCAACTGTACGCTTTGATTATTGTTGACAACAACTATGCATCGCTTATTGGCTTATTGGTACACACATTATTGGTTGTAGGTCTATCCAATTGAGTGCAGAGGCATTTTTTTTCCTGGTTCGTTCAAAACACGCCCCATAATCATAGCTCTATGGAGCAGTATCAGACTCATATTCTGACTAGAATTGAGTAGGACTACGTCAGGCTAGAGAATTTCACTTATCCGCACTAATTTGGGGGTTTTTAGCATTAATTTGAAATTCAAATAAAAACGGTGCTCCATCCTAAACAAAAGTAAATGAAATCCCAGTCTACAATTGGAAAAAATGTTTGGATAAAAAAAGTAAAATGGAAAAATATGTTGAAAATCATTATGCATAATGGCTTACATGCTTCCTGTGGCTGAGCTGCTGTCAGTGGGGAGAGAGCCATTGGATCGTTCCATTTGAGCCAACCTGGAAAACAAAACAAAAAAAACTGTTAAAATGAAAGCCTTCAAAGGCTGTTAGGACATCGTTAAAACACAGAGCACTGCTGCTAACAAACGAGGACATCAACACCTCAGTGGGCGAGCTGTTCAAAATGTAAAAACGTGCCGTCAAGTCAGCAGGAACGCTCACTGACAAAGAAATATAAAAAGATCATCTAAGTTTAGCACATGCACATTATATATACATTAATGAATGCAGTCACCAAAATGGAAGAGCATTTGTGGATGATTATGTGTGGCAGACATGAGGTTGTGGAGAGTGAAAATAGATACGGTAAAAACATTTATGATTTCATAATTGCAAATCCACTCAAAGCAAGGCAGTTATGCTAATTAAGTCAATTCCTAGAGCTTATATGCAAAAAAAAAAAACTAAAACAAAGAGTAGGGATAAAGTACTGTGTATTATTGTTAATTTTGAAAATATGAAAGAGTTTACATAGAAGACATAAATCTTAGATATAACCATTTTGTTTCAGCTTATTTGAGGAACTGTGATGGCATTGCTTTTCATTTATAATTTCCAACTTATTGAACTGAAGCGCATTACTGAATCAAGTTTTCAGCATGTTTTAGTCACAGATGTGTCCACGGTGTTCACGCAGCTGAATATTAGTTTGGTTCCATTATAATTTGTGTGTTCATCCAGTAAGTCTTTTTGAAGCTGAAATTTGACGCATTTTTCGCCAAAGGAGTGGATAAACTTCAAATGTCAATGCACAGCAAATTTGACAGGAAAGGATCCTGAGTTCTCGTTATGCTGCTATAGAGCAATGATACTAAAGGACCTAAACACCTGGACACAACTTTCTGTACTCCTCTGGTCATGAAAGACAAACCCATAATTGTTGCAAAATTAAGGGGTAGTTCAGTTTTCAAAATTTTTATAAAGTTTACAAAACATACTCTGATTGAACATAAGTGAAATGAGCCAAAACATACGGTCTAGAGAGGGCCCCCTTCAAAACTGAGTCAAAGGGAGGCAGTTTGGAGTAGACCAATTATAACTGTGGACAGGTGGAGATGTGTAATTAACAGTTATATAAATCGTTTAGAGTAATTGCTTCAAAAGGTTGTGCAATAATACAAGTCCTATTCAGTTTAGAGTTTCTATTTATTCTGCTGAGTAGCAATTCAAATGCAATGGTAGATTTTTAGGTTTAATAATCAGTAAAATTGTATTAATCAGTACTTTTGTCAGGAAGCTATTCCAGTGATATTTTGCTTTTATTAACAGAGGGGTGATTTCAAGTTTGCCCATGTGTGTAATGACACTTTTACTTACAATTCTACATTTGCCGTTTTTTTTTTTACTTCTTTTTGCTGATCTTTAAAGATTTAACTCCAAGTTTATCTTCTTTTTATCCATATGGAATAAACCGATCTATGTGCATCATAAAGATTAAGCAATGGTGACAAGGAAAGATTGGTTTTAACAGAAGAGTTTCAATCTTCAAACCCTTGGTTGATCTAAAATTAAAGAGAGTCTGTCTTACGTTTACCAAAAATATCCTAATATCCTCGTTCCTTAGGACATTTGGCCAGTTAAATGAATTTTGGCCAATGTTGTGTGGAATGATAAGAAAAGTTGGACTTTCTGAAAGATGTTTGTCTCGTTAGACAAGCTGATTTCAGAAAAGTGCCGCTTTCAATCACAGTGATACTGTAATGGTCTGGATCTGCTTTGCTAACTCAGGACCTGGACAACTTACGGAAAATAAAATTGTGGCTGCGTTCACACTGCAGATCTTAATGCTCAGAATTTTGTTTTGTTTGAAATTTGTGAGATTTATTTACGTTGCCGTTCACATTTCCAAATATATGCAAATAGTATGTGATCTCCTGTGTGAACTGTATTCACACAACCTAAGTGTCCCGGATGCGCAGTAGAGGAAGCAATGACGTCACAAGAAAGTGTGCTATGCGTTTACCGAAGTAAACATGGATGGTAGTGCTGGAGCACATCTAACGATCCTTCATTTGTTTCCCAATTTTTTAAAAACATCTTTTCCTAATTGGTTAAAAAAAAAAGCTCTCCACATTATCGTCCGCCATGGTTGTTGTTTTTGTTGCAGCTTCTGAGTGTCAAGACGCAGAATAGTGACCTTTGTCAAGTATTAATGAATCAGGTCGGATAAATGCGACCTGGACGTTCAGACACAGGTTGTATTTGAAAAGATCAGATTGGTATCGGATTCAGAACCACATAGCCAAGTGGCCTGGGTCATCCCGGAAAAGAATTGGATCAGTGTTGTTCAGACTGCGATGAAAACAGGTTGCATATGGGCAAAAAAAATCTGATTTGGGTCACTTCAAAATACAGTGTGAATGTAGCTTAAGTGCTCTGCCTTCATTAAGAACATCCCACAGGAGTATGTGCAGTCAATGGTGTTTGACCTTAAGCCCAAGTGCACTTGGATTATAAAGCAGGACAATGAATCAGATTCAGCGAGTCTAACTGACTAGCAAAAAAAAAAAAGCAACAGAGAGGTTTGGAGTGGCCTAGTTAAAATCCAGACTTACCATGATTTGCACAACCAGTTAATAGGTTTAGATGGTATTTACATGTCCTGTATGGCCATTGGTTAATGATAACTTCTGTTTACATATATGAATACACAGCTATTTAAAAACAACATTCACCATTTATTTAGGGTATTTATTTTAGATAAATCTGTAACCTGTGAGACAACAAGCTAAACTATAAAGATTCTATAATGAGGGAAATACATCTTTAAGGGGAATGCCGTCTTTTTTACATTGGGCCCTTGATTTTACATTATTACATCATGTTCTACTCACCGACAGTTCTAGTTAAACAGTTCAACTGAAACATCATTAGTTCAACTTTTTTATTTTCTTTAGTCCAACTGTTTTTAATATTCTTTTTTGTTTCTGCATTTTTTTAATTTTTTCTACTTGCTTTGATTCTGTTTTGTTTTCCTAAATTTTAATCATATAAAGCACTTTGCATTGTCTTTGTACTGAATTGTGCTATACAAATACATTTTCCTTGCCTTGCCTTACCCATATGAGTTTTAGGAAGATGTTACCTGGATATAACCTTTCCGAATGTCTTCAGAACGGCTCCAAATGACACAAAACTCATATGGGTGAGTAGAACATGATGTAATAACGTAAAATCAAGGGCCCAATGTGAAACAAAATGCTGTTCCCCTTTAACGCTCAGTATTTAGTTTTTTATACATGTCTAACTAACTTGCTGAAAGAATGATGAAAAAAGTGCTGCATAACTGGAATTAAACTGGGAAGAATTACTTTCTGAATGTGACTGAAATTATCATAAAATAGCCATAGTCTCCAGATGTTTCATACACTGTTGATTAAAACAACTATTTCAAGAGAAATTCATATTGGACCACAGCTGGCACAGAGAGCCCATTGGAGCCTGGGGACATAGACTACAATTCTTATGATAGAGTAACTGCTTATTAGAATAAAAGTATCCAAATTTTGTTAAGCATAGTTCCACTGAAACTTCCAGCAAAGCTTCTAAAGACTTAATAACATAAAAATAATTTATAAAAACTAATAATGAATCCCATGTTTTATTTAAAATTAAAAGCAACAATCACACTGAATGAAAAAATGGTTCCACTAAGGAAGAGTGTGATTAGGTGTTTGGGTGCTCTTTGATGGAAAGAGATGGAAAGTATTTATTTGCACAAACCAGAATTCAAAGACCCTTTTAGTCCCCATATCAAAGCAAAATACTTATTTTCACCAGAAAGCTTATTTTCACCTCCAGATTACAGGAAGTTTATGTGGCTTTGTTGTCTCTGCTCACTAATTCCACATAAGTTTTAAAGTAGAAACATCCCTTTTCGATTTTTCTAGCCATGGTTTCTGTCTTTGTTGCTGAGCTAGAAGATTTTAAAACAATTTATTCCAATATATTTTGTTTGCATTTTACTTTTATTTGAGGTTTGGCTGAATTCATTTTCCACTTTCTTGCCCTGCCTGTCAGTATGGGTGGTTGAGTATGGTTTGGTGGGTTGGGAGTCGTGGATATAAAAGTGCTCACCAAGGTGTAAAATACTGTAATAAATATTGTTTTATAAACTAAAACTGCTCTGAGCTCTGCCACAGCCTGATCACTGACCTATCAACTGTGCTTCTTGGTCTTGGTGGAACACAGGAGAGATTGAACTCCACACATGGACTATTTCCTAATGAGATAACCTCTGATGGCAACTGTGGCGCAGATTCTACTGATAAAATATTGGAGTAAAGAACGATGAATCCAAATTCTATTCTTCAACCCAGTGGTTCCTCGTATCCCAATAAATAGACTATGAAACTCTTCTTCTAGTCTAGAAATCAATGAATGGCTTTGCACCAAAATACACTATATTGCCAAAAGTATTTGCTCACCCATCCAAATTATTGGAATCAGGTGTTCCAATCACTTCCATGGCCACAGGTGTATAAATTCAAGCACCTAGGCATGCAGACTGTTTTTACAAACATTTGTGAAAGAATGGGTCGCTCTCAGGAGCTCAGTGAATTCCAGCGTGGAACTGTGATAGGATGCCACCTGTGCAACAAATCCAGTCGTGAAATTTCCTCGCTCCTAAATATTCCACAGTCAACTGTCAGCTGTATTATAAGAAAATGGAAGTGTTTGGGAACGACAGCAACTCAGCCACGAAGTGGTAGGCCACGTAAACTGACGGAGCGGGGTCAGCGGATGCTGACGCGCATAGTGCGAAGAGGTCGCCAACTTTCTGCAGAGTCAATCACTACAGACCTCCAAACTTCATGTGGCCTTCAGATTAGCTCAAGAACAGTGCGCAGAGAGCTTCATGGAATGGGTTTCCATGGTCGAGCAGCTGCATCCAAGCCATACATCACCAAGTGCAATGCAAAGCGTCGGATGCGGTGGTGTAAAGCACGCCGCCACTGGACTCTAGAGCAGTGGAGACGCGTTCTCTGGAGTGACGAATCGCGCTTCTCCATCTGGCAATCTGATGGACGGGTCTGGGTTTGGCGGTTGCCAGGAGAACGGTACTTGTCTGACTGCATTGTGCCAAGTGTAAAGTTTGTTGGAGGGGGGATTATGGTGTGGGGTTGTTTTTCAGGAGCTGGGCTTGGCCCCTTAGTTCCAGTGAAAGGAACTCTGAATGCTTCAGCATACCAAGACATTTTGGACAATTCCATGCTCCCAACTTTGTGGGAACAGTTTGGAGCTGGCCCCTTCCTCTTCCAACATGACTGTGCACCAGTGCACAAAGCAAGGTCCATAAAGACATGGATGACAGAGTCTGGTGTGGATGAACTTGACTGGCCTGCACAGAGTCCTGACCTCAACCCGATAGAACACCTTTGGGATGAATTAGAGCGGAGACTGAGAGCCAGGCCTTCTCGTCCAACATCAGTGTGCGACCTCACAAATGCGCTTCTGGAAGAATGGTCAAAAATTCCCATAAACACACTCCTAAACCTTGTGGACAGCCTTCCCAGAAGAGTTGAAGCTGTTCTAGCTGCAAAGGGTGGACCGACGTCATATTGAACCCTATGGATTAGGAACGGGATGTCACTTAAGCTCATATGTGAGTCAAGGCAGGTGAGCAAATACTTTTGGCAATATAGTGTACATTACAGACTTGTAGACAGTAGTGAACTACCCAGACATCTCGGGTCCTCTGGCTCAGGTCTATTCTGCATATCAACAACCAGAAGAAAACATTGAGAAGCAGCTGTAGTTCTTAATCTCAGTTAGTCTGCAATTAACTCCCTGAAAAGTGTGAAAATGCTTACATCAAACTGAGCATACAAACATAATGGCTTAGATTGGCATTGTACTGTGCTAGCTAAATAAAATTAGTAAAGACTCCAACTTCAGTTTCATTTTTGTAATCAATCATTTTATATATATATATATATATATATATATATATATATATATATATATATATATATATATATATATATAGATCTATATCTATAGATATATACTGTACATCTTACTCCAGTCTCCCAAAGGTGAACCAGGCATCCATTTATTTAAATAATCTATTTTCATTTATTTTAATTATTTGTTTTACCTGTTTGTCACGGCAATGTAATTTATATTTTCATAATTTTTCTATATACAGCTCTTTGAATTGTCTAACACACAAAACTACAATAAAACTCAATGAAGTTTGCATATACAAGGTACCAAAAGGTGGGAAATGTATGAATACAGCCAACATATGCAACCACAAAATGAAACTATGCTTCTGCAACAAGGAATTACTAGAGATGATTGTAGATAAAAACATTTAGAGTTTCTATTGAAAGGTTAACCATTTTAACAGTATTAGGACTTCATGCAAATCTGCTCTACGGCTACTACAAAAGTGTTAAAAAAATGACCCGGTTTCCAAAAGGCAATAAATTAAATATGAACACCTTCTATATCTTAGCCTTGATGATTAATAAATATCAGGTTTTCCCGTCTTTTGGCTTTTCCTGAACCGTGAATGTTATTGCCCAAAGGAGTCATTTAAAAATAAAACCTTGTTTCTAGAGAGTCAAATTCTTTTGATCTGTCATACAGATGCATTTTTATTTCCCTCTGCCTTAAAGTTATAGAAAAACTTCTACACTTTCCTTCCTGATATATTCTGAATGTTTCAACTTTAAATTTAGGCTTTTGGTGATTAGTTTATTCTCTATTAACTTTTTTCACAGCAATAGAAATGCGACGAGGAGGGTTTTCATGCCCCTCAGTCAAAGGAATTGATGAGATGGTGATGGGAGTCTGGAGTGCATACCTGCTGGCATACTGCTCTATCCTGGAGTGGGTGTCGTCATGAGAGAGCTGAGGTGTCTGGGACAGCCTGGAAAATGAATGGAGTAATGGAGATGGATGAGATTCTGCGTGCCCACACAGCCTCGTTAAAACAGAAAATCACGAGCACATGCGCACACATTCGTTCACACATTCACAACCTAATGGCCCCGCACAGCTTCACCTAGAAACAAATCAGATGATCCTACAGAGAAAGAAATATGAAAGTGGGATGATCTACGTAGCGTTCAGATGCTTTCTGACAGGCCAGTGGGGATGAGACACTGTTTTCTAGGTGGTTACTTTAATAAGAAGAGGAAGGTGAGAAAACGGCGGATGCTCCCCCCCCCACGTTTTTAGGATGCTTGTTCAACCAGTGGATCAGACAGAAAAGCAGCCAGTCAGGCAACATGCAGTCAAAATTTAGGTGGTGCAAGGATGCCGGTGGTGGGAGATGAGGTTCTGATTTAGGGGTGAAAGGAGCAAAAGGAGGTGTCGTTCAAAAGCATTCCAGTCTGGAGACGGGGTGTAGTTACTGGTGACCAATACTTACTCATACTGCTCCGGACACATGCTGATGAGAGTGACGGGACTGTAAGGAGGGAAGGAGGGGAAGGGAGTAAAGGCACCACAAAATTATTTTAGGGTCAAAATCAGTCAATGGGTCTGAGAAAGACAAAAGGAGGAAAAACAGGAGGAGAAAAAAAAACCCTCCATATTTATGCATCCAGTTGCCGACCAGTGGGTTACACATAAGGGGAAGGAATGTTGTACAGTCAAGAATAAATGTACACACCTTATGGCTCCAACAACAGACCTTTTTTTCCCCCAAAGAACACAGTATGCAAAAAACCCAGGGTTCCTACAATATTTCAGACTTTACACCTTTTCAGGTTGTTTTTGTAGACGTTTGAGTACAGCAAAGTCATGTAGAAGAGTTTTCAGTTTTAGTTTCTTCCACCCACATACCTGTATAGATAAATATTTAGATGAAGTTTTTTTTTTTTCCACATTCTATGGTCTCTCATTTAATGTATAAAACCCAAATCCTGTCAATGACAGTTATTTGTACTACATTTGAAATACCACATCTTGAACTATCTCTGATTATACATGCAAACTGAACCCAGCTGATGAACCCTGGTCGAGCGTCTAGATCAGGGGTCTGCAACCTTTGTTGTTTAGAGCCGCAAAATATACCATGACTTTTTTTAAACCTTTATTTATTTTTATCTTGTATAGGAAATTAGTTGTTGCCATCTCAAACAATCAATTCATATATTTTTAATGTTAAAACGTATAATTTTCAAGCTATTTCATAGAAAAATGTCTCTTAAAACATATTTCTGGTTCTTTTAATCTCATTCTTTTCCATCTTATAAAAAACGCAAAAGCTATTGATGCCGGTATATATTATAGTAAATTATTTACCTCTTTATATACATTTTAGCAACTATTAAGAGCCGCTGGAGAGGGTCCAAAGAGCCATATGTGGGTCTGGAGCCGCAGGTTCGAGATCCCTGGTCTAGATGCAGTAATGTATATGTTGACATTTCTCCTACAATCAGTGTGTTTAACCCCTCCAAAAAAATTTTTAAAAAATTTAAAAAAATCGCTATAAACACTTTTATCTATTAGATAATATTTTTACAAACTTGTCCTGACTTCAAAGGTGTTAAAAAAAGAAACACTATACCTTTTAAGGCCACATAGGAAACACTGAAAATCTTAATGCTTGTTTTGCTTCTAATACTCCAGACAATCCAGTAATCATCTAAAATGGTATTAACAGTTTCCTCAGGTTTTTTTTTTTTTTTTTTTTTGAGAATCATTGCAAATACTTTTTTTTTAATCACAGCATTTAATTTTTTAAGCCACCCAACTATGACCTATAAATCATTCAAATAAATGCCAACCAATAATTATAATGGTTCATTCTGCCAGTCTTGTAATACACTGTAGTACAGTTTGTGTTATTGAATACACCTGATAATAGATTATTCTCAAACTGGCTCTTCCAATGCAAACACTGCATTGTAGGCAACAATAATAATGAATGACTATGATAACTAATTCACTTTACCTGCATTTGATAAGCTGAATCCCCCATTTTCGTTTTCTATATCCAAGGAGATCAATAAAAAATAGGATAATATTCTGACAGGAACTCGATACAAGGAAATAATGTATAGGGCCTGGTGCTAAATTTTACATGTATGTGTCACCACAAACATTTAAAAGCTTAGATCCACTTTAAGATATCTGAAGAAAGTTTAATGTTTTAAACATGACTTTATAGAAAGGAAAGGTAGCTTGAAATTTTCTGCACAGTACCTCAAAGGAAGAGTGAAAAAACAGGAACAAACCCACTCATGAATGTGACAAAGTCTTCAAATATCCACCTTTCAAGTCTGTGCTAATGTGCTGCCTTTAGACTGGGAGATAAGAATTTGTAATCTAAAAATATTCAACTTTTTCACTGAAATATATATATGCTTTCCCAGAGGAATCAAACTCGGGGTTCAGATCAATTTTCCTTAATTCTATGCTTTTCTTACCACATACACCAAAGCAGGGGGAGCTGTTCAATGCCAGTGAGTGGCCATTTGTATAGACAGAGTGGAGAGAGAAGAAATGGAAACAATCAAAAGACTACGGTTGGGCAAAGGCAGTTTTCCAACTGCACAGACAGAATAAAAACTGTGAGCTTTTTCTGTCTTTTAAGATGTGGACGTCAAGTCGGACCTTTGAAAGTTTGAGTGCTTTCGGAAAAACAATTTCCTTTCAAAGTTGTCTGAAATTCATTCTGTGTGATATGTGCTCACATTAACATGGAGGAGGAGGTTAAGGATGAAAGAGTTTCTGCTTTCCTGATAAAATATTCAACGTCTTGACACACTGACTTTTAAAAAAGATCCAAACTATGGGATTATAGCATCAATGTATGCAAAAAAAAATAATCTTTTGTTAAGTACTAACATTGATTCAGAAGCTCTTTTGTCCTTCTAGCTACTTCAGTAAACCATGGAAATGCTGACTGGGAAAAACGACAGAAACTCCTAAAAGAGCCTGTGTCTATTTTCATCACCTTAAGGATTTGTTATAACTGAACAGCATGTGCTTCTCAGTTTTTTTTTTCCTTCAAGGTGAATGCCCTGAACAGCTTCTAAAAATCAATTTGGTCCATCATGCTGTGGTAGTCACTTTGTCTCTGTTAGCGCAGGTTTTTTCTTTACATTTCCTTTATCCCAATTTTATTGTCAGCAGTAAAAAAAAAACCCATCTGTGCTTGCTGACACCTCAACCTGTCGGATACAGGGAGACAGCTAGAGGGCCACAAGAAACATTCCAGTAAATGTGTGAGTCGCTTGGTGACAGATACATCCTTTCACTTGTTCTTCTGTAAGAGAGAACTAAGAGCAAAGTACATAAAAGAAAATGAAGAACAGCTCATGCATTAAGAGAAATTTAATTAAATTGCTATATATGTATAATATGAAATGCCAGGTTTCTACTGTTTACTCAAAACTGACATACTAGAGAAAGTTTAATTTAAGTCAGCTCATTCTAAACAATCTAAAATGGATAATTTTTTTTATTTATTTGAGAAACCAATCATACATTTAGCTATGATATTTTTAAATTGTATAGATTAGTACTCAGAAGACGGTTTTGCAGGATATAAATGTGTATGAGCATTTGTGCAGTTCTAAGTAAATATTCAACCCCCCCCCCCCCCCCCCCCCCCCAAAAAAAAAAACGTTTTATAGCACATACAGTAGAATATGGTAAGGGAGGGAATTTGTTTTACTCACGATACATATAATATAACAATTTGTATACATTTTCAAATCAAAATGAATATATAAATGAAATAATACATCAGATGCAAATATTGGGTGCCACGTCATAAGTATAAATAAATAGAAATACGTTTTTTCTGCCTATATTTTTTTTATGGATAAGATCCCTAAACATCTGAAAAAAATCATCCATCTGCAAACTTATTAACACGCTTGCAAAAGCCTGAAATCTGGTCAGAAAAGCTAAGGAGCGAAAAAACAAACAAAAAACAATGACAAAAGAACATTAGCAGGGTCCTTCTAAATTTTAAAAATATAGCTGTGACAAATCCAAAATCTCCTCAGGTGTGACATGAAGCAAAAAACGAGAGAAAAGAGTAGGATGTGTTTTGCTCTCTCTCATGAAGAAAATGAGAGTGGGAGGAACAAAAAAAAAAAGAGGAGAGTAGAGGAGAGTGAGGCTGAGAGTTAAAGGAGGGTAATTACTCAAAACCTAATCTAGTTTTCTCTACTGACACTAAGTCAATACAAACATTTTTAAATTCTTAGAACTTTCTTTGGTTACGATGCGAAGTGGAGTCTGAACATAATTCAAAGAGTTTACAGTAGCAGAAAAAAATCTAAAATAATTTTACTGAAAAAACTCAATTTAAAGCAGGATTATGGTTAATGGTATTTCAATGTTTTAGAATGTTAGAGGAAAATAATTCAAATTTCTGTATTACTTACAGAGCTACCAGCATTTATAGTCTAATGTTCACATAATGTAGTCAAAGAAACTGCAAAATGATCACTAACTCCACTTTCCCCTCCCTACTGGTATATTTTTAAAAGATCTCATGCAATGATTTCCTTCCCTTAGGGAGCATTTGTCAAGAAGGAAGCTCTGCAGGAGTCATTTCTCAGAGCACAGGGTTGAAAGTGAGAACGGGCAAAGGTGGGAGGTGAGGAGGAGGACGGATAGGGGCAGTTAGTGCAATCCATCTGAGTGTTAACAGTGGCCAACTTTAAGTTGGGAGAGAGCTTTTGTATATCTAACAGGTGACTCATCCTGAGTGCTGAGATGCTGCAGAGTAACATCATGTAAAAGTGAAGAGGAACAGTTAGAAATAACAAGAGGGTGGATACACATTTAGACACAGAATAAAGAGGGGAACACTTGAGTTTGGTAGCAGAGATTGTTTAGAAGACAAATGGAAATCAACACTATTTTGGTAAATGTATAATATATATATATATATATATATATATATATATATATATATATATATATATATATATATATATATATATATATATATATATATATATATATATATCTTTAGATCTTTATTTCAGCAGATCTAATTATCCTATTAAAATCAAGAATTTATGATCAAACATTGGATGTTAACAAACGCAGAAATTTTGGTTTATGCCAATCAGAAGTTAAAATTAATTCTCAATCCGAATGGACTTTAATGATGGATATAAACAGCTTTTTACTGTGGTTTGAACCATAAAAAGATCACAAAAATTATTTTAAAAACAAAGGACAAGCGAATGAGTTTTGATCTATAGTGAAAATGGGTTATAGCTGATTATTTCTGGATTTTTAGGAATCTCCAAGATGCTGCAAGGCTGGTAAACCTGAGTGCATTTTTTTAACTATTTGTATAAAGTAGGAAGAACACAAAATATAATAATAATAATAATAATAATAATAATAATAATAATAATAATAATAATAATAATAATAATAATAATAATAATAAAGGAATATCATCTCAGCTTTGCCTCATTAATCAGTAAAATGGATGAAACTCAGACATTGGTTGGAGTTCTGACAGAGTGCTGATCCCAAACACTCATCAAAGATCAGAGATAAAACAGGCCAAACTAGTCAGATTCTAAACTCCACGAAATCCTTTTTAAACAAATCATAATTCAAAGTTTGTACTGGAAACTGGGCAATGAACTCAGCTACCATTTCAGCCAAGAGGAGATGTCAAACGTCCAGCTGGAATCAGGCCATGGATGAATTGATGACCACAAAAAGTGCTAAGAGGCATTCATACCAGTGCTAATGAGGATGTAGATATTAAGCATGTGTGGACTGGAAAAAGTCCAAAGTTAATATTAATTTGAGCAACCAGTCCTTGTTTTCATAGTTAACTGAACTGGTCTGTTGGATAATAAGGAAAAAGTGATTCAAATTGATCATTAACTTCTTACATGCTTTTAGTGAGCGAGTAAACGTCTGAGAAAAAGAAGTTTAATGTAACAGAAAACATGAAGATCTTTATTGTTCTTCAGATCTTTGCTACCTTTGGAGTTTGTCACCAGTTTCCTTTTCTATTTCCATTCCTTTGCGTTATTAAAGTGTCAATCATTGACTTTAAAATATATTGACATAAGCGCATCAAAAATATGTTGTTTATATAGTTTACTTACAAATGTACTGAATGTAAAGCAGCGCTCTGGCTCTTATGCTTATAGAGTAACTTACGTCTCCAGGTTGTCTCCCTCTAAAACCGTCTGGACTGGTAGGTAACCCAGCCGTGGATGCTTGGCAAAGTACTTCTTCGATCGGAATTTGTTCTTTAGCACTTTGGTGAAATCTCTCATGTCTTCGCCTGATGTTGTCTGAAAATGGAAGAAAAAAAAACACAAGCATAAAAACTGAGGATTAGGCATCCTGTGCACATGTAGTGAAGATCAGCATTTCTGTGGAAGAAAATTAGACTGTTAATTAGACAATAAGCAAAGGTGTTTCACCCACAGAAGCAATTTCAGTCATGCAAGCAAACAACAAATTAGCACAACAGTCTGACCGGGGGGGTGAGCAAAACCCAGTTCCAAGTGATTTATAATACCGCACACACATCCTGACAATTTTTTTTTTTTTTAAAGGGGGAAAAAACAGCTTTAGCAGATGACAGATACGTGTAACAGGCTTGTTAAAGCTCACATGGCTTATTGGCTAATCCGCACAACTTAAGATGGTAGCTTGAACAAATCACCAGCACATACAGAGCAGCTGCAAGAAAAAAAAAGCCTGTGCTTCATTAAATCTCTCCTCTGTGACTGTGCAGACATGCAATCTCAGATACTAGATAACCAAAAGGCATGTATCCCTATCAAATTATTCAGTGCATGCAGCATTGTTTACAATGCTTAGAGCTTTTCACAATTTGTCAAATTAAAACCACAATCTCTTATGCATTTTTTGGACTTCATGTGAGAAATTGTGAAGTTGAGGGAATTTAATCAACATTTTTTAATTAAAATAATGAAAATGAAGTCAGGCATGTATTCAGCCCCTTTAATATCCTGCATAATAATAGCATCCACTGCCTGTGTGTAATTTAAACTCAAGATAAACATGGTTCTCTGTGAGGGCTTCAGAGAAGCAGCAAGAAGCGATGGTGGTATCTTTGCAGCTCAGGTGGGAGAACCTGTCAATAAGAAAACTATCAATCGAGCACGCCACAAATCTGGCCTATAAGAATAAAAAACAGGCATAAGACAGACAGGCATAAAAATACCTGCTGTAGTTTGCCAAGAATCACAAAACAGTGTAAGAACATCCCTGACCCTAACCCTCTTGTCATTTAAGGTCAAAGTTAAATGTTCATATATTGGTCCATATATTGTGTGCTAGAAAGGTAATGCTACACATCACCTCAATCATGGTGAAGCCATGGTTTCCATAGGCCAGTCAAACACCAGACTTAAATTTAACTCAAATCTCCAAGACTTGAAATAAAATGTTTCCAGATGCCTCCATATGATGAAGAAAAATGCATGTTACTGTATGCTTTTCAGGTTTTTATATGCAACATTTATTCAAATAAAACCTTCATCTTACTTTTATATCAAACCCGTCCAATACTTTGCCTCTGACTGATACAAATTCCTAATAAAATATAATGAGGTTTTCAGAAGTATAGGGACAAAACATAAAAAAAAGCTGAATGGAACTGTAATTGAGAAATGCAGCACAGGAGCTGCAAAGACAACCCAGCATTAATAATTCAAGAAGGCACAGTAATATGGTGGGTGTCATAATCCCTAATATTTGGCCCATGGGTATATGTTAGTGACAGTTCAAAAAAAAAAGGAAAGACTAAAAATGACAGCAAACCTATTAGCGGCAAAATTTCGACTAGAAAAACATAAGCCCTTAGGAAAAGTATGAGCTTAAACGAGCGACAGAACAAATTAAAAGTAGAAGATTTTCACCCACTCAAATTTATAAACTAATGAAAAGCAGGATAATGGACATAAAATAAACAGCAATGCAAATAAAGCGCTGCTGAAAAACAGTCAATAAAACAGCTGCACTGTGTCGCTTATCGTTTTCCTGTAGTCAAACAGGGTGCATCAATAAAAGAGGCTAAAAGGCTTGATATGATCATTAGAAAACTACAAATGTGATTATATTAAATTAACATCCTGAAGGTAAACGTACATTAAAAAGTACATAAGTTGCAAAAAACTGACGTTTAAAACAGGGAAGTGAGTCAAATATGTTTTTAGCCATCTGATAGAAATTAGAAGTTAGAAGTTTCAGACCAACATGCATTTTTCCCCCAGCCTCCACCAGCTAAAGGGTCAATAAATCTAGGTCAAGCTTAATGAGTGGGCTTCATGTCCAACTTTCACAATAGAGACAAAACTGCTTTCAAGGTTTCTGTGCTTTTGTTACTACAGCCAACCCAGTATCGATCTGTGAGCATTAGGATGGTGTTTAAGGAGAAAACAGCTGCAGAAGAGTTTTACAAAAACATACTTCTATTAAGCATTTTTTTTGGAAATATCTTTCTAGTTGATGCTTGTTTCATTAGGTTTTTTTTTTCATTATTTTTTTTTATCAGGTTATATTCTTTCTGCTATAACTTTTTGAATTATGAGAAAAATCTGTGTTAAAACAAATTGTAGGCCTAACCACCTACTTTTATTATCTGCTCCCATTTCCTTCCATTGATCTCTTTATGATTATGTTGCCCTTTTTATTTAAAGGGAAAACATTGCTTACTGACAAGCAGAGAATAAAAATAAACATCATGATAAAATATCTGATTAGTTTTTGAACATGATATTTTCTGATCCTTTTCTCTCAGGCGTTGTCCAGTATGCTGTCGGAGGTATCGCTCCAAACCAGAGCACATCTCTGCTGCACAGATAGCACATTGTGCCATTATTACATTCTTATCAACAAGGTGCTGCCAAACAAAGCCCATCTTGCACTGGATGCTCAGCACCAGGCTCTGAGAGTCGCTTAGAGATTTGTCTTTGCTCTGCTTTAAAATGGGGAGCTGCTCTGTGCAGATAGTCAGACGGCATTTAAAAAGAGGGAAGAATCAGAATTCAGGAATGAAATGTAGAGAGTTATAAAGATTAAAAAGTGATGAAAGAATGACGTAATTTAGTGACGATATTTGAACAATTTAGGCTAATGAATGATGTGAAACAGGTGGAATTAAATATTTGTTTGTTTTCTGTGGAGCAACTTTTCGAACTGAATTATTCCCTCCCCTTAAAGATACTCTTTCTAAATCATTCAATATAATTTTGAACATATATTTCTCCTTTATTTTTTCAGGTTCTGCAACAGCCTTTATTCAGTTTACAAAAATATTCATTAGGCCAAAGAAATGTAAAATGTGAAAAAAATAACCAATAAAATAAAAGGATTTAAAAAAACAAAAAAAACAAAGCTGAATTAGCTTCCATCCATTTTTTGTCACACTTTATCCCAAGCGGGGTCACGAGGGGTGCTGGTGCCTATCTCCAGCTGTCTATGGGCAAGAGGCAGGGTACACCCTGGACAGGTCGCCAGTCCATCGCAGGGCAATACAGAGACAAACAGGACAAACAACTATTCACGCACACACTTACACTTAAGGAAAATTTAGAGAAACCAATTAACCTAAAAGTCATGTTTTTGGACTGTAGGTGGAAGCTGGAGTACCTGGAAAGAACCCACGCATGCTCAGGGAGAACATGCAAAAAGGAATCGCACCCAGATCTTCCTGCTGCAAGGCGGCAGTGCTACCCACTGCACCAATTTACCTTTGCATTAAATTGTTTACTTTAACATGATGTGAAAGATTTAATGGATAATTTGACTTGGTTGGAATTATTTGGATTAAATGGATACTTTTATGTTTAATATAGCCAACAGTTTGAAAAGGTTTAGAAAGGTGTCACAAGTAAAAAGCAAATACTCAGTTTTAGGAGAAAGTTACTTGTTTGCTCTACATTAAAATAAAAAAAATAATCTGAAAAGGCTGAATAATATCTTAGAGCTTGTATTAGCTCTGGAATAAAGCTTGGAAACATTTTCCACACATATATGAACAGAAAAAAACCTAAAGTCTAATTTGACTTCCCCTAGTTATGATGTACATTTCTATAAAATATGAGTATCTAAAGTCAATTGTCTTTTAAAGATTTATCCAAAAATGAATTCATGATTGTTTACTTTAGGCAAAACAATAGAAACATGTCATAAATAACGAATCTAAACCGGTGCTGGAGGATAAACAAGCTAATTGATGCATTGCTCAGAAATAACACCTTTGTCTCCATTGCTTTGTTTTAAAAAGACTAATTATCACAATGAAGAACAGAGAAATACAAGAAATTATTTTTCCTGTCTGTACAAAGCCTTTCCAACACCTTTGGGGTGAACAGGAACGCTGACTGAGTGCCAGCAGCTCCTGTTCTCCCACTACAGCTAAGTAGGCTTTGTGATTAGAGGAAGACCCTTGCAGCCAAGTGCTAAAAACATTTTCAGACTTCCCATTGGAATGAACATTGTTCCAAGTGATGCAGGAAGCTTGCAGAGGAGTTCATCCTTAATAGAAACTTAGTCAAAGAAGATGCTTTGATTTAAGCAGCACAAGGAAATGAGGTAACAGCATGAGTTGAATGGTATTACAAAAATTAACACAGAGTAAGATTACAAATATGGTGCATTGATAATTCAGTAGTCTCTCTCTTTGTCTAATAGGAGGATTAATATTCATTGGTTGGAAGACTGTATCTAATTTGACATTAAGATGAGCAAGAAGGTTATCAAGTGTGAATTTAACTGGATTCATTTAATGGTTAATTGGAGAGTGTGAGCGTGTGGAAGGGAGATATGGCATAAGCTGGTGGAGAAAGTGTGCAGACGTGTGTGAGGGAAGGTTGTGTGTTGCTTCCTCACCGGTGTGCAGTATTCAACCATGGGGTAGTTGAGCTTGTGGCCCTTGGCGGTGCGCCCAGAGAAAAAGCAGCTCTGACACACGTCGTAATTGAAATGCTTCAAACTGCGATACCTACATAGAGAAGTGGGAGAAAACCAGTGAGAAAAGTTAGGAAGAAGTTTCCCGATATGTCACTTTTATATCCTCTGGGTCTGTTATTCTGCAAGTGCACAAGTGAGCAGATTGGCTTACAACGTGACTCATCATCTGGAGAGCTGTCTATTCCCACTGTCACTTCGTCAAGCACGCAAACTAAAGGCCGACAGAATGACAGACTGCCGGATTTCCACCCAAACACAACACTCTGACAACAGCTGTGGGGATGTTGTCCTCAGCAGCAGCTGTAGCAAGTCTGCCATTAAACAGCTAAATTGAGACAGGAGCCATTCAGACATAATAGCTTAAGTCTTTTATCTTTCTCTCTTCTCCAGCTCTCCCCAAGGTTAGCTGACTGATGAGCTACAAAAGAGAGCTATACATCAAAAGATGCAACAGTGCACACAACTGCACTAAGTCAAACACACCATTACATCGTGACAAGAAGCATATTACTATAAGGAGAGGGCGTTCAGTCACCTTCACTCAGGAGGTGAGGAGGTAATTAGTTAAGCTACCAAACGACGCTGGTTAATTATCTAATTGGTTTTTTAAAGGGGGAACCCAAAACATTTGAAACATATTTTATAAAGGGACATTTTTCCAAGGATTAAGGTAGGGATGTAATGACAGTAGATAAATACATACAGGTCTGCCATGTCACAGACATCTTTCCTTGGTTAGATTAAAAACATAAGTACCAAAATAAAGAATAACTAGGTTAAATTAAATCTGAAAGGGCTGCATAACGACAAATGTGATTATGGCAGGTGAAAATTTAACGGTGAAGATTAAATGGTCTTTTTGTTACAGCAAAGAGTTCAGGGCTTCCAAACACAAAATGAAAGTAAAGAGGAACTGCTGAATATTGAACTTGTAAAGCATTTACTACCAAACAAGTCAGTAATAATTTTATATCCAGAGCCATTTCAAGAAGGCGAGCGAGGGACTTTAAATGGCATCAGATAACAAAGGAGCGCCACCTTACATACAAACAGTTTCATGCTGAATTAAAAATTGTTAAACCTTTATATTCATTATAAGGAGTTTGCTACATAATTTGATTTTGAATAAAAACATTCAATACTTCAAATATGGAAGGATTTTTCTTTTTAACACAAAAAAATAAACTAATTTTTTTTTTTATTAAAACCTGTGACATCTGCGCCAGAAGGCAGGGTCTAGTTAAAGTGGAGGAAAATGTTATAGCAAATAACAGTAAGAATGCAAATAGGCTGGATTAACCACTCTTTTACTTTTAGCAGTCATTTTAATCCTTGTAGTCTAATTGTTTTACTCAGTTTTATCCAAACAGCACCAAATCTTAGTAGAAGCTAAGCTTTTTATTATAAATCAGTGAATAAATGTTCGGATGTGTCATCTTATTAATGTTGTCAAATATAAATACATCTATTTTCAAATTAAGTTTAAAGAAAACAGAAAATATAACACTAAATTTCAATTTTAATCTGTTTTATTTATTTCATCTTTTTATTCATTTGTATTGATCTGTTTTTTCTCTACTTATCTAAAATAAACATTGAATGTTTTTTTTTTTTTTTATAAGAAATGGTATACGTTCTCCATAAATAGCTAAGCATTTAATTCTTTAATATTCTCTAAAATAACTTTTATAAAATTCCCCTCAAACAATCATATAAAGCAGAATTGTAGAAGTTAAATCAAACATTTTGTCCTTTAAAGCAAATACAAACATTCAGTCGCAGGTATCTGGGCTTCACTACTGAATACATTATTTTTCTTAAGCGTTTTATTTTCCTAAACCCATTAGGAAAAATATGAAAATATTTCATCAACATGTAGGGGCTAAACATATGTATATGCAGCATTTTATATATAATTTTGGCCTAAAAAGTGTTACCTTATAGAAGAAAAACTTATTCCATGACTGGTGTCATGTCTTTAGACCACACAAAATGCTTGCTATGCATTTTTCCTCCCTTTTCAATTTTGCTATCTGCCTTTACTTCCCACCATCGCTCGCTCTCATCGATCAATGACAGAACCTTGGAGATGTGTGCTTCATCAAATGTCTGGATGTGTTTCTCTTTCTGCTTGCAAAGCAATGGATATCCAGGCGACAACTTAACTCTGCTCCTCTTCAGGCTTTAGGAAAACACGTTCCCTCTAGACTGGAAAGAGCAAAACTGGAATTCTTCCATGAACCCACCAATATGGTTAATTTTAATTTTCCAAACACCAGATGCAACCAAGCAGCCAAAGAGGCACGAAGAGGCTTGCTCTGAACTTAAAAGATTGTAAACTTTGGACAAAGCTGAGTTGTTTGTTTGTGGGCTCCATTTTTTTGGCCATGCTTCATTACAAACCTACAGTAGTAGTGGTGTTTACTCAGTAGTATATCAGCTGCTGACATTTAGATAAATGTCTGCCCTGCAGACAAGATCTGCCCTTTTTGTTCAAAAGAGAACATTGCACAAGAATGTCATATGTGTAAGAGCACAAACCAAGCTACAAGCTAAAGACTTAATCATTTGCTTTCTTTCATAAAAAAATTTAACCACCTAAAAATGAGTATGTGACATTGACTTTTCTTTTTACCTGAAACCAACAATAGGACACTCTTTGCAGATGTTACACTTGGCCTGATGTTTGGCCGTCTCTGCAGCAGCAACCCTGTGCAGGACAGGAAGCCAGACCATAGACTGGGGCTCCAGTCTCATCCAGTCCACAAACTGCCGAGGCTCCAGCTCCACCTTGTTGTTCACCTGTTCATAAAAAGGACACGTGGTTAGGAGTTAGGAGCACATAAAGCAAAAGTTTATCAACCGTATGAAGTTTATAGTTTCTATAAAGGTCCCTCAAAGTGAAGTGATAAACTGTAAGGGCACTTTGCAGCATGAGATAAAACATGCACATCCAGTAAATGCTGTAGCTCTTTACTAAACTCCTAATAAACATGCAGACAACTTTAGGACTGCCTTATATATCAAAATGAAAAGGCTCCGTCCTGTTAAGGCTTTGAGTTTTAAACAGAGACTGAATGCCTTTTTATGAGATTCTAATTAATGTTTACTGGTGCAAATGTCTTATAATAAATTGATGAATGGTCACATCCCCACTGGCCGTGTCTTATAAGTCCTGTGGCTGTATTATTAGTTCACAGCTAGGATGCTCGGAGCATAAAAAATATGTCCAAACATCTCTTCCATGCAGAACTGAACTTCAGGTGTTTCTGGAACCAGGAGAGAAATACATTTACTTCCTGAAACATGTATGGGAGACTGCATTTCATTTGTCTATTCACTGTTTCAAACTGTTAAAACAAAGATATAATGTATTATCCCACATTATCACATGGACACCCTCCTCCCATCACGTCATCCCACCATTGCTCATCTACACCACTTTCACGGGCTTCCTATCGATTTCAGAAGTTTAGGTTTAAATTCTTCTATTTGCTTATGAGGACATCTCCATATTTATCTGCACTGCTGCTCCCTCTCATTCCCTCCGATCTTCTTCCTCTCTCCATCTCACTGTCCTTTCTCGACTGGTTCTTATGGGCTCCAGGGATGGCCCAAAACTCTGGAACCCCCTCCCTCTGGACCTCAGTAATATTAATTCTTTCGCTCTTTAAATCACATCTCAAAACTTAAAACTTGCCTTTAAACTCAAACATTCCCTCCATCTGTTACACTGCTGTATTTTGCTCTTTTTTAATGTTTATATCCATTTTTACTTTTGTTTTTATTGTTTATCCATTTATGTTGTTCCCCTTAATATGTTCAGAGTCCTCTGGTTTCTTGAAAGGAGCTTTAAAATGAAATGTATTGTCTTTATTAAAACAACTAACCCAGATGAATTTACACATGCATCTAAACCATGTGTGTAGTTGCATTGGCTGGCAAACACCTGGCACAACAGTGTGAACAATATATAACTCAACACCATGGAGTCCATTCACTACTTAGCAGCTTTGCTATGGTTGATGTTACCTCTAAGCAAATCAAAGTGACCTTTCTATCCTCCCAGACACATGAGGGAGAGAAGGAAGCACAGGGCAGAAAACACCGGCAATAAGAAGGGGATTTCTTTGAAAGGAAAAGGATGTACCTGTTCACCTGTTCCATTTAGAAAGCTCATCGTGTAAAAGGCGACAAGCATTTTACCTCATTAGCATGTACGACTAAAAATAAATATATGATGTAAAACAAGACTAATGAGAAATAATAATATAATATTCCCAGATGTTTGGAGCTATTTAACCAATGCTTCACAAATGAATCATTAAAATATCCCAAAGATATTTTACATTATAATATATTACAATGGTATAAAAATAAAAACAAACATTTTTATTTATTGTACTCATCATCAACTCAGATGAAAATTGTCTAATCTTAGAGCTTAGAAAAAAGATAAGACTATCCTCGACAAAGAAAAAAAAATAAAACTTAATAAAATTATATTTCAGAACCTTGACTTATAATATTCAAGGAGGTACTACGAAAAGTTAAAAAAAATTCATGACAACGTTGACTTCTGTTACACTGTTAAACTTTCCCGCCTAAAAAATTACATTTTAAAACATGTTTTTAGTGATTAAAAGGAGATTGTAGTGAATTTTAGTGCCGTATGGTTTAGTGCAGCTGACTTTTCTTTAATCACCTGGCTAAATGAATGGTAGGATGGTGGAAAACTAAAATCAAAGGGCGGCTCACCAAGAAAAGTTTGGGAACCTTTGCATTAAGGAGCCTGGAGCATAAAATGCTGCTTAAATGTTTTGACTCGATCTATTCTAACTAAAACAACTAATGATAAAAATAATCCCCCAAAAAAGTAAAAAAAAAACAAAAACAAACAATCCACTGGACTTTGTTTCAAAGTTTGAAGACATTTCGCTTCCCATCCAGGAAGCTTTCTCAACTTAAAATGTCAGAATTAGTGTTGACTTAGAAGCTTTATATAGTATAGTACCCCAAAAAGTTATTTTGGCCTAAAAAAAAGCTAATTGAACCAGAAGAATGGGTCTGTCCCTTAGGAATGGGGAGTCATTTGGGCTCTTTGTTAGCCTGCAATACCCAATACTGGTCTATGCCTCTGAAAATGATATTTTGTTTTTTCCCCTGCATGGGGATGGGGGTTCAGATGATAGCGGCAGGATGGAATCAACTCCATGGCTGCATTGTAGGTTTTTGAGAGCTTAAACACGAGTCCACCCCCTATTTAAGGTTGGTTTTTCTTTCTTAACATAATCGCCTGTTTTCTTTATCCAAAATGTGAACATTCTGGTCCTCAAATGAGTGTTCCTTATTCTCATTCCATATTTTGTTGTTCTTTCTGAAACCTTACACCTGACCCCCTTTAAATAAACTTTAAAGCAGCCTTAGTATGAATAGTATTCAGGTGTTTGTGGTTATGCATAATAAAAGTTTCTTTTGATCCTTTAAAAAAATTCAAAGGAGACTTTTACCCTCGGATAAAAGGAGAATATTAGCTCGGATATATTCTTCAGCCCACCGACATCTCAGATCATCATTAAACTCTTCACCCTTCCTCTGACCTTTGCCAGCATAATCTAACCGTCACTTCAGTCACATACATTAGTCTCATCTTTGCATTCTGTCTTTTCTCCCTGGCATCTAACTGCAGAATTATAGCACTTACAGATTAATTACTGCCTGGCTGAAAGGATGACTGGACAGAGGGATGGATGGAAAAATGAAGCAGCGCGACAAAAGGACGGCGAAGGAGGCTAAATTTATGTGACTCCTTCATCACAGAGTCGTTAAAACGAATGAGCTTGGGGGTTCTGCAGCGTCACTGGACGGACTTACTGATGCACAAAGTCTGCACTGTGTTTATGCAGGTGGGTTACTGGGAGATATTGTGTGTATTTTCTGGTTTTGCCTGCCAAAACATTGTTGGACGTTTAAATGATTAATGAGGAGCTGAACTACAGCTGACATAGAGATTCATGACTGAGTCTGGTGGCAATTTGTTTCTAGAGGTTTGCATGTTTGTGTACTCATGCGTTCTCAAACCATCTATGTCCATGTGTGTTTTAAAGCAACATCAACAAGGACTTGTAGGAGATCTTTACCGCTGCAATATCTGCTTCACTCTATGTTTTTAACCCGCAAGGAGGAAAATAAGTTAAACTGGATTTTGTATCTGTCTCCTTATGACGACCAATGCATGAGATGAGAAAAACTGAGTATAATAAAATAGTGACTCCCTGAGGAGAACAGCTTAATTAAACTATAGTAAAGTCTATAATTAAGCCTGAGTAAAGAACCTAGATGGTCACCATGAAACTAGATAGAACATTCAACATAAAGTTGTCAAGAAGAGTTCTACAGTAGCTTTTATGGTGAAGTTATTTGCCTGACAAAAAAAAAACAGTTTGCAAAAAAGGAAGATCAAAAATGTGACAAAGAAACCCTTATTGTGCTACAACTGAAGAAAAATAAAAGGTTTTAATGTTCAACGTTAGGAGAAAATAATATTTTGACTGGTTTTTCATGTTTATCCCTTGAGAATAACAGTTGTTATTAATTCAATTCAGTTTATTTATATACACATGTCATCTCTAGGCACTTTACAATTCAACCAGATCATACAGTCAAATTGATTGAAAAGCTTTTCCATCTAAGGAAAACCAGTTGATTGCCAGTTAAATAATAGATAAAGAAAAAAAAATCAATAACAAGAAAAGTGTTCTGATTTTGTTTTGTTTTTTTTAAAGAGTGCCGCTTAAAATCTAACAATATTCAGGCATTTTTATTCGATCTGTTTTACATGAAACTTTATCTGGAGCCAAACCTTACCTATGACATTCTAATGCATCGAACTATTGTATAAACTGAACACGTCTCTAAAGTAAGCTGAAGATTTTTGTCTTTTTTACCATAGCTTTTGATCAATAGTTTATCTTTAATTGAAAACAACCAAATTCTTGTTACTAATGAATATTTTTCCCAGTTAGGCCTGTTAAACTATCTTCATGTGCGTGTAACACTCTTGACATATTGATTTGCCAAAGCATTCACATGCTCTAAATTAGAAAATTAGCTAAATCCAGCTATCAAGCTTCCCTTTCTGTGCCGAAGGATAATTCTTCTTCCCATAGCATGATGCTGCAACCACATCCTACAGACGACATGTGGAACATGGAGGAGACTTAATGTAGAGTTCACTGCTCTACAAGACATGCTATGGGTTTCACCTTCAGATAAAAGTTAAACACAGGAACATATCTCAGTGTTTGGTTTCTTATTTGTAAAAAAAGTTATTATATTTAACTTTCAGTTCACATTTATGATCTACTATTGAAAATAAAATCTCATTAATCCATTTCAATAGTAGAAGCTTGTATGCTAACTTCAGTAAGATCAAGGACTATTTAAATCAATTTACACAGTCGTTTAATATAATTTTGGTATCAGAAACATGGATTAATAATGAAAGGGGCATGGATTTCGAACTTGATGGATATGAGTTGTTGTGTGTGAACAGGAAGAACAAAAATGGTGGTGGTGTAGCTATGTATGTGGATATGAATTATAATTATAAGGTGATAGAAAATATGTCAACTGTGATAGATAATGTGCTTGAATGTATAACAATAGAAATAAGTCGGACAAAAAAGAAAAATATCATTGTAAGCTGTATATATAGAACACCAGGTTCAAATATAGATACTTTTAAAAACTGGATGGAAGATCACTACACAAGTGCAAACAATAAAGTCATGTTTATTGGT